TAGTTATCTCAAAATTATTCTATGAAATAATCTATTATTTATCAGGGTATACTTGTAAAGATATTGTAAAAAAAATAGGACAAATGTAATAGAGACCTGATAAATAAGAAATTATTTCATAGGATAATATTGAGATAACTATCAAATATAAAGTTATATACTGACAGATTGGATTCAGGTCTTTTCTTTCAAAATCTGTAATTAAAATACAACACATAGAATCGGTTCTTTTTTTAACAAATTTTATATAGAGAACAGTGAAAACAGGTTAATAGATATATTATAAAACTTATCTGATACGATATCGAAGAGATGTTTTAATAATTTCACGATAATTCCACGAACCAGAAGCGTGCATGGTGATTTCAAAATGTGTGAATGTAACAAAGAGATGCCGAGCCACCAATCACGTCAGATTGCGTTAAATCGAGAAGATTCAAACCTTCACTTCCTACTGCATTGCATACACTCTTAATTAAAATTTTTTTAATAATCTTGCGTACGAAAGGATATTGCAACTTTAATAAATTATTTCATATTTCATAAAATAATCAGATAAATGATCAGAAAATTTATTTATTTTAATCTCACTTACATGTTTTTATATGCCATCGATGTGACAAATTTCCTAACCTGTATTTATGCTCGCACATTTTCGAACGCAAGCACTGTCGTTGCGCAGGTTTTATACCATATGTAAAATATCTGCGCAACGACCTTAGCTAGTAGAATTCTCTTCAAAGGTTATACAGATATTCTAATCTCACTTAGGTATTCGTCTATGCCATCGATGAGACAAATTTCCTAACCTCAATCCTTTGTTATTGTCAAGACTCAATCCGACTTTATCGATCTTATAGATCGCAGCGATCGATATTATAGAGTGCGGTCGAGTTGCCACTACGAATACTTCAAAGCGTTTCTTGATTGGTTAATTGGTAAAATTCTTTCTTCTGATTGGTTAATCAAACGCTTCGAAGCATTCGTAGTGGCAACTCTACTGCACCCATAGATACACATTTATATCTCTTGCGCCAAAACTTCCAGAATGCATTTCCTCTCTCCGTAGCTGACGACGACGACGACGACGGCGACGACGATGACGACGGCGACGACGACGGCGACGACGGCGACGACGACGACGGCGACGACGGCGACGAAGATGAAGACGGCGACACATTGTTTCTTACAAACACCTAAACACCCATTTCCTCGAAGGCGAACACGTAGACGCCTACTTCCTCGACGGCGAACACCTAGACACTTATTTCGTCGACGGCAAACACCTAGACACCCATATCCTCGAAGGCGAACACCTAGACACTCACTTCCTCGAAGGCGAACACCTAGACACCCACTTCCTCAAAGGCAAACACCTAGACACTCACTTCCTCGAAATCAAACACGTAGACATTTACTTCCTCGACGACGAATATATAGACAACATCTAGACACTTAATTCCTCGTTAGTGAATACCTGGACACATAGTTTCTTCTCTTCTACTTTAATTAATGGCTCATCGCCTCCGGGTATATAAAAGGAGGTCAATACGGCCAGATCACGTCAAAGGGGGTAAACTGTATTATGTAGGAATAACGATTAAGGAGGTAAATCAGAAACCTCAAAATAACTAAGCGAACTTGTGCGCCAGCCGGAGTGAGATACTCCAAGCTAAAATCTCGCGACGATGTGCCCTGGAGTAAGCGGAGCAAAGCGCCGCTAGGATGGGAGAAGGGAGGCAGTAAAGGCAGGGAAGAGCGCCTGCGCATAGCGCGGGAAGGCGCGAAAATACAAAGTGCTAAAACTGTCTGCCGCAAGATTTGCTAAAGCTCAGAATGAGTCTATAAAATTTTTCTGTAGGATTAGCGATAGCGTGCGAGAATTTAGATAAGCGATCATTATAAAGCATGATTCGGTCAATCGTACGCCGTAGGAAAAGTGCATAGTTCCTGGAGTATGGACATTCGTATAGATCAAATGAAGGATATCTTGTTTCGGGTCGCCACAAGGGCAAGAAGGACTATCAATCAAATTTTTTCGGTGCAAGCTATGGTTGAGATTGTAATGATCGGAGTGCAACCGGTTGACCATAACAATGGCATCCCTGGAGATCTTTAGACGGAAGTACCAGGGTTTAGCCGCTCTATTAAAAATATGAGAGAAAAAATATGAGCCTTTGACGTCGGAAAGTGATACAATGTGTTGGAAAAAATTTTCAGTGATTTTATATTTGATGACCGCGCAAATGTCCGAGTAAGGTACTTTAAAGTTTGGTTCTATACCCTTACTAATAGCCCGTTTAGCTAGTTGATCCGCTTTTTCATTACCGATAATAACCGCAGTGCGAGGGGACCCAGATGAAGTGGATTTCAGTACCTTTAGACTTAGCCTCCTCCAGAACAGACCCGAAGCGGGATGAGAATTATTCGTGGAGTTATGATGTCCATTAAGAGCATGTAAGACGCTCAAAGAGTCCGAAACAATGGTAGCCTTCTGCAGGTTATTGTCAATAGAGATAGAAACCGCAATGTAGATTGCATAAGCTTCTGCTGAAAAAATAGAGGTATAAGAGGGAAGCCTGTACATTAGTTCTGCCTGAAGCTGTGGCGAGAAAACTGCCGCCCCAACATACGTAGAGTGATTAATTTTGGAACCGTCCGTAAAAAAAGTAGTGGAGTCATTAATAAGGTGTTGGAATTCTTGTTCAAAGAATGTTTGAGCACTTGGAATAGAAGGAATATGAGATGTATCCGCAGGAGGAAGAGAAAGCGAGGAATAGGATATAGTGGTAATGGAAGAGCGAAAGGAGAAACGAAAGGAGGGTAGCGTGTAAGAACGATCTACGAAAGAGCGGTAGGAAAACCAAATTTGGAGAAATAGGGCGGCCGCAGGAAAATGCCTATGCAGGTAGTCCATCCTAGAATGGGTCCTAGCGGTATCGCAAAGCAGGTGAAGTTTTTCCATGTTAATATGGTCGTGAGACCAGAGGAAATCGTAATGAAGTATCGAGAGGCAAGAAGGCGAAATCTGAAAGAGAGTGTAAGTTCAACAGTTTTAGCATAGATGACATTAAGGGGTGTAGAAATACGATATCCATAGCAGAAACGAAGGGCGTGATTTTGGATAATCTGAAGTGCCCGAGAGCACGAATTTTGGACCATGCCAAAAATTTGTGCGGCGTATTCAATAGAAGCACGAAGCATAGATCTATATACATCGAGGAGTAGGTGCGGATGAGCGCCCCACCAAGTACCCTTGAGAGCGCGAATAATTTGGAGAATACGCTTGCCCTCATCGATAACCGCAGTCATATGCGCCTTTCCAGATAGCTTAGAGTCCAGTAAGACCCCGAGAAAGCGAACAACATTGGAGGGGTAGATATGTTGGTCCTGAAACGCAATAGAAAGATTCATTTGAGTAAGAGACCTGCTAGTAGTAAAGATCATAAGTTGTGTTTTGTTCAAAGAGATGTCCAGACCTCGACCACGCAGATATGTTTCCAAGCCCAGAAGGGATTGTTCGACCGAGTGAATAGCGGACGTGGTGTTCTTATGAGATGAGAAAATAACGATGTCATCCTCAAATTGGAGGAGTTCTATATCGGAATGGAGCGCATCATTAATTTCTCTGAGATAAAAGTTAAAGAGCGAAGGACTAAGGACAGAGCCCTGAGGGGTGCCTTTGAAAGAGGTGAGGGGCGGGGAGATGATGCCCTGATTGATAAATTGCACCGTACGCTTGGAGATAAGGTTGTGAATAAAAGAAATCAAGAGAGGGGGAAAGTCGAAATCGATAAGGTCTTGAGTAAGTATATGCGGTAAGACATTATCAAAAGCTGACTTAATATCAACAAATACAGCCACCGTGTTCTGTTTGGTTAGAAAACCCGAATGTATGCTAGCTACGAGAGCTGTGAGGTTGTCCTGACAAGAACGGAATTTACGAAAGCCAAATTGGTTATTTGGAATTAAATCTGAGCATGGAGATTCAATCAACCAGTAAAGGCGATTCAAAATCATTCTCTCCATGATTTTAAGAACGCAGGAGGTAAGCGAGGTGGGCCTGACGCCACTGTTATTAGGCTTAGGAAGTAGATGAATTAGAGAGTGAGACCATTGGGAAGGAAAGATGGAGCATCGGTATAGATTGTTAAAAATGTAAAGCAAAGTGCTCAAGAGTTCAGGAGGGAAAGCCTTGACCATACGGTAATCAATTCGATCTAGCCCCGGACTAGAGGAGGATTTGACCGATTGAAGAGCGGCAGATAACTCATCGGGAGTAAAAGGATCATCCAACCATGCATGGCCGCCATTGTAAGACTCTGGAATGCTAGGAGGAGGAGGAGGAACCGAAGGAGGACAAACCGAAGGAGGACAAAGTTTTCAATAGCTTCGCGGATCATGACAGATCTGTCCTCGTTACTATTCTGTGCAGGTGAATTGGCCGGGATGAGACGGCGGTTACGAAAGCGTTTAAGCATTCGCCATATATCAGCAGTTGGAGTCTTCATATCCAGAGAGCCACAGTACCTTCTCCATCCAGCGCGCTTAGCTTTTCTAAGGACTTTACGAGTCTGAGACACAACGGAGCGGTAGAAAACATAATTATCCCAAGTAGGGAAGCGTTTGAATGTTTTCAGAGCCTCCCTACGTTGATCAATAGCAACAGAGCAATCAGGGGTCCACCACGGGGAAGGAGGAGGGCCTTTTTTAGTAAAGGCCGCTCGAGAATTGGAAGATGTAGGAAGGGGCTTAGAAAGAGAGAAATCCTCGTAACTCTTAGATACCAGCTCCATAAAGGTATTGTATTGAGAGACGGGATCGTCAGGATCAATGTCACAAATGCTTTGAGAGATAGAGTTGGCATTAACCGAGAGGTAATGTTGTACCGCTGACCATTGATCCTTGGATAGGTTAATCTTGTAAGCGAACACCGAGGCAGTGCGGACGCCACAATTGACCTCGAGTGGGTAATGATCGCTACCCAGGAGATCAGGGGAAACTTGGGTATCACATAGAGAAGATATACGAGGAGAAGCAATAGCAAGGTCTATAGTAGAGAGGCTAAAAGGAGAGAAGGAAACATGGGTAGGAGAGGAAGGAGGATTGAGAACCACTAAGTGGTGATCGTCAATAAGGTTAGCGAGTAGATGACCGGCAGCATTGGCCCTCGAGCCACCCCACATAGGGTGATGTGCGTTAAAATCTCCAAGGAGAATGAAGAGTTCTTGCTTGTCAAGGAGTGAAGAAAGAGCAGAAAGAGAATTAGCGGGAGCAGGAGCGCTAGGGTGTCTATACGTGCCTATCAAAAGCAGGCGTGAACTGTTAAGAGAAAGCTCAATGCCTAGAGCCTCAAAGGAGTTGTTGAAAATACCTGATAGATCGACCGGAGAGTACAAGATAGGATTGCGAATCAGGATCAACATTCCCCTAACGTCCGCCCGATTGGCATCAACACGTAGGCAGTCAAAGCCCAGAACGCGAAAGTTGCAAAGAGGACCCACGCATGTTTCGGCAAGGAATAGAATATCAACAGTTTCAGCTAACTTTTCAATGTCACCCTTTTTACCCAGGGCTCCGCGACAATTCCAGTAAGCAATTTTAATGGAGCGTAGAGAGTGCATTACTGTTCAAGAAAGATTGAAGAAAGTTTATTACGCGCTGAAAACTAGGGCCGAATAAAGAGTTAAGTAACGCACTAGGTATGTAATCCAAGATTTTAAGCAAGAAAGAAATGGCCCCTTGTATGAAATTTGTGAAACCGTCAGTGGAGGGGGAAGAAGGTGAAGAGGATGCAGGTGGAGGATCGGAGTGGGGATCACTAAAGTTATAAATAGGAGGAGATGAGGAGGAGGGCATTCTACCATTAGGCGCGAAAAGGAAAGAATTGTGGGTATCGCGATGAGGCATATTGTCCTTAGCAACGTAGTGGGTGGAGGATTCAGTATTATTATTGTTGGATCTAGAAGGAGAGTTGTGATAAAAAAGAGGTGCGGAAGTACTCGCTTGCGTGGAAGGTACACGGGAAGGCGGGGAATTAAGAAGACCGTTAGCGAAAGCCGAAGAAGAAGAGTTTAAAGCGGCGGCAAAAGATTTGCTCCTATTGGGTATGGTGTTCAAGGGTGGCGATGTCTCAGGAATCAGGTGCTGGTAACTAATAAAAGGGCGAGAGGGATTATGAGGTTGTGAGAAAGAGGGAAATTCAGAAGGGTGATAGACATTTGGAGGGGGGGAGGTCGAAGGAGGAGGAGAGCCCCCAAGTTTAAAACGCGCCGCGACATAAGAAATATTTTTTGTTGCAGCACAGGCGTAGATTTGTTTTTGTTTCAAAAACGCAGGGCAGATTGAGGCAGAAGGCAAGTGTTCTCCACCACAGTTGCAACAGAGAGGCGGAAGTTGGATCCGAGGGCAGTCATCTGGAGTCGGATGCTTGGCATTGCCGCATCTTTCGCATCTCGCCCTGCTTTTGCAGTCAGCGATGACGTGTCCATATCTAAGACAGGAGAAACACATGAGAACTCTAGGAATATAGGGCGAAACAGGAAAGCTCACATACAAAAAAGAAACAGAGCGAGGCAGAAACTGTTCGCGAAACTTTACCAAGACTGTTCTGGAGGGCGAGTCAAGCACTTCCCCCTCTTTGTGAGTTCTGAAATTAAGACGTTTAGCAGAAATGATTTTAAATTGAGAGGTGAACTGCTTAGTAATGTCGTCCTCTGAAATGTCAAGAGGGACATTGCGGATAACATCCGTTCTTAAGATGTTAAAAGATGGAATGAAAGCAGAGAGGCCTGCCTCTTTTAGGCTAGGGTGCGAAAGAGTAGTATTAGCCATATTAAAATCACTGAAGTGTATCGCAACTTTATTACGGCCCGACGACTTAACCTCAATAATCTTGTCTTTAGCGAAGCGCGAGACGACCCGCGCGACTGCAACCGGATCGAGACGAGAAGTGTCGTTGTTATTATTATTTGAGACGTTGGTAGATCGTCTTATAAATACCACAAAGGGGGGGCGATCCCCTTTGTCATATGACAGATTAAGATCGGCGCGAGCAGCGTTAACAGAATTCACGTCATTGAGGTTATGCGTATTAGCAGGCGTAGATAAAGTCTTATTCTGAGGTGATCTGCGTACACGCTTACCTGGAGGAGGCATAGCCTTAAAGTCACGAACGCTCTCGCAATCCATTCTCATATCAGGAATAGAATCCCCGAGAGAAGCTGTCGGGGAGGGGGGAGGGGAAAGATCCATCTCCGCCGAAGCCAGCGAAAAAGTATGCGGATTTTTGTCACACACGTTGCCGATGCTAGAATTTGCGCCCACTTGAGGTTGCGTAAGACTCGAGGAATGAGAACGCGTTCTAGAACTAGATCTGGATGGGCAACACGAAGCGGATGAAGAGGCGGGAGAAGAATCCCGCGAAATACGCGGGGACTTCCCCCCCCTCGACTTACGCTTTTGTCCACATTCTGAAACTGTAGGATTCGGCGGTGGTTTGCGGAAACTATTTTTTAATGTAAGATGAATAGACGTAGGAGGCAAATTATTGTCCGTTACGCTATTAGCGCTCACAAAGAAAGAATCAAAATCTTCCTGAGACACAGATAGTTTCTTGTTTAATGATGTCGGGCCGCCGCCGGGATCCGGCGAGGCCGACTCACCCGCCTGCATGGCAGGAGATCTGGCTGCCTAATTAGTAGCAAATAAAGCGTACTCACAGTAAAAGCAGAAAGAAAAGGCCTCAAAGGAGGCAGCACACAGCCACAGGCTGCAATAACAAGCTTATGAAGCACGGGAGACAATCGAGGAAACACAGGATAGGTCCACACCGTACGAGCGCACGCGAGCGAATCACACATAGTTTCTCTATATTTCGATATTTCACAATATATATATATATATATGGGGCATTCCACGCCAAGTGGGCCACCCATTTTGCGAAGTTCCATGGATTTCGTTCATATTGCGTGAACTTGAACAGTTTGATGAATAAAGACTCTATGCCAAATAATATACCTGTAGGCCAACTGGTTACCGAACTGTAGAACCGTCAATTTTTGAGCTTTCTCGTTGCAGCGCTCTTTTCGCTTGTCGTTAGTGGGCATGAAAGGCAATTTTGAAAATAAAGTGCAGACTTATTCTTATAGAAAATTGAACGCTCTTTCACGTAAGAATATTCTTTTTTTGATCAGACCTGTTTACGATGATGTTTTTCAGTTTTGAACTTTTCAAAATGGCGGCGCGACTAAAAAGCCGCTCTCAATTTTCTTTTAATAGCTCAAAATGTAGCTACAGGTCTCTACTTTGTTACTCTAAAAGGACTTAATGGCA